ATAGTGTATTCAGATGAAATTCATATGAAAATATAAGAACCTATTTTAAGAACCTTGGTAGCCTAAATTTATTTTAAGGACCATTTATATAAGAACCTATTTAGGCTTTATTGAAAAATTCAGGTTCTTATACATGGGCTATTACTGTACTTGTCTCAAATCTAATGCATACATTGTGGATACATAAATAATTATTATATTTTACCTCAAAGATTTTGTGTGGAGTAAGCAATTAAGTTTGACACCATAATTAGGCTCGACATGTGCAGGGGTTTGATTAAGGGCCAGGTACCAGGCAAATTGACGGACCGGCTGTGAGGATGATTTTGCCTGGCTGGTCTGGCCATCTAGCAGAAAGGTTTTTTCATAAAGAAGTTCAGTTCTAATATTAGTTTTGCCTGCCTGTGAAAACCAGCTGCCCTTCTCCTGAAAACATTTAATGAAACCCCTGCATCTGAATTGAATCTGTTGGACTTAATTATTTGAGTTGACTCAAATGGGTATTTTTTTTCAGCACATGTAAAGTATGATGTCTGAGCCAAATGTAAATTATATTAGGTAATTACAGGAAATATCCATATCCAGCCATAGAAGACCATAGGATGATAAAGATGAACTGGAGTCTCATGAGGGATAGGCACAAGGAGTTCAATGCAAAAAAACCTTCTATGAGGGAGGTATGGACACTGAAAATTTTACTGAACAACAAATTGTAAATATATGTGAGACAAAATTTGTAGATATCAACAGTGCCTTTTATCCTAAATACCAATGATTAGAGTTTTTCTGTACAACAACCTTACAAATGCAAATGATCCCATTATGACATTAGACATGTAAATTACCTGCCTGTTTGATTATAAGGTCTTGTTACTTCATGTCAAAACCTTCAAAAAGCTGATCTAAAATTATGGCGCATGGTGCAACAGTAAGGGACTAAAAAATAGAAATAATGGTTTTCAGCAGTATATTTTTTATGCTATGTACATTCTGATGGTTTTATGGTTCATCAAGCTCACTAAGCTGTTTCTTCATCACTTCATTCATAATTGCCACACTAGATTTTCTGTTCACACATTTCTTTATGCGCTGTCTGTAACAGGCCCTTATAATCCAACGGGCGAGTAATTTACATGTTTAATGTCATAATGGGGTCATTTGCATTTGTAAGGTTGCTGTGCAGAAAAACTCTATTATATAGATACACTGTATATACAAACATGGAAAGCTCTATTCATTTTGAGCATTCAATTAACAGTTGCCCCGCTGGCTATTGTCGATACTAACAAAGACTCTGTAACAGTGACGAAAAAAAATGGAAAATGAAACCCACGGTGTTGAGTTTGCACTATCAGTACAGGAAAGGATAATTACTAAGCAGGTGAGAGCAAAACCGTGCTAATATTGTGACGGTGAGCTTATTTCTATTGTAGATAAGTTTGCAAGTACATTATAAAAGAGACATTGCAAGGGATGGCTATCAATCAAAGATGACACTTCTCACAAAGACCGTCCAGCTGAATTGATACACGTGCAATGATTCAAGTCACCTCAGTGCTTAGGCTGTATTGTATAACATTAAATCTGATATCTTTGTATTTGTATTCAGCAAAACGGACGGTGTGATCATTTATTTTACACTGCAACCTGTTTAAACTCCTTTCATTTTGAGGCCTTATCGTTTCGTCTGTTTAAAGGATCAAATAAAGCGCACTTGATGTAAAACGGATTTTCATTTTCGAGATTTCCAACGATCTTTAGGCCTAATTTCTATTGAACCAAACAACTTCCTAACATGAAATGAAATGAATGAAAAGCTTCATAAAGGGATAATTGTGTAACATACCACAGTTTTACCAGTTCGGATTCTTTAACATGCATGAAAATTAAGCTTAAGATAGCAGACATTCTTAGGGAAAGAAAACTTGCTAAAACGATTTACGATCTGTTGTTGTCGTCTCTCCGAAAACCCTGATCTACTCTGGACATTTATATTTCCCGTTTTGCGAATGTTTGAGGTTAAATTTCAATAAACAAACCCCTAAATTTTTTTCCACACTTAAAGTCGAATATCTGGGGTGATTTCGAACAGATAAGCAGATATAAGACTTAATGCCTGCCACAAATGAATTTAGAACAGTGACGAATTCACAAGAATTTTCAAGATCAGTATAAATTAGAAATTAGAGAATTTTACGCACTACTGGTTTCAATTTTTTTCTTCGTCAAACGTTAACCCCATTAAAAGAAACTACATGAAAAGCTAGACATTAGAATCCGTACAGCTGAACCGAAATTTGAGCTAAATGGAGTGGTTTGCCGATTTCGAATATCGAATATTCTGATAAGTAAATGAACAGCTTATAAAAAACCCCTCGGTCGGCGAATAGGTTGGGTTTAACCGTTGAAATGCACGTCACAGCATTTAATTTTTTAGCGGAGTTTCAGGTATCAACAGAACTAAAGAGTTTGGTTCAAAACTCAAATTTCAGCGTAATTGTAGAGTATCAGTACCAACCTTGTGCCACGCGTAGACCAAAGATTCCATCCAAGTTTATACTCTTGAAGTCTCGCTTGAAAAAGTTAAGAACTCTGTTCATAGAGGATACAACTTCTTGTGTCAAATCATCATCGCTTCTTTGATTATCAGGAAGCGCTGATCCCAAATTCAAAACAAGTAAAAACGTTAATAAACTCGAACACAATTTTACGCGAAAGGCCACCATTTTCCGCGTTCTAGTCGCGGATGCTGTTACTCTTATCAAATCCGCTCTGTATTTGTTACGTACAAAAGAGTTAAGTACAAAAGAGTGACTTTCTGCCAATATTTGTACGTCGCCGCAGTCATCAGAAGTTAATGTATTAAAATAAGTTCGTTCCCCATGGTAATTTCAAAGCAGCTGCAGCAGAACGCTGCTTCGTTTTCATCCGGAGTAACTAAACCAGTTCCCAGTCTCGCCGCGCACTTGGCCAGGGCGTCCCGTGGGGAGCCTCCCAGGTCATATTTCCATGAGAACCGTGCAAACGTATTAGGGAAAAGAGTGATAATACATTTTTTTTAAACGTGATTTTTATATAGCGAACAAAATATATACATTTTTCAGACCAATTCTGCATATTCTTATATCTTTTGCCGACCTCAGGCTGAAGCACGCACACTACTCACCAGGGTAGCCTGGGTAGCTAGCGTTCCGGCGAGTTCGCCCCACCATCCTCTTCTCCGTCAATTTTGCTCTAGTTTTCGCTGCGCGGTCGAGAATTTTGATTGGTTCCCTGAACGGGTCGACGTTTCCGATGAGTACAGACTGCCAAGGAAGCAAGAGGGTCACGAATAGTTTTCAAGACATTGCACAAAGGAAAACCAAAGGGGAATTGATCAGCAGAGTTTTAAAACGACAATTACAAAAAAAATACTAAGAGGCACCAAAACCGCCTCTTTTTACCCCTAAAAGGTACGACCGGCATCCCCGAGAATAGCCAGAACAACAATGGACTCATTAGCAGCCAATAGGTTTCTCTCCTTAGTTTGTTTCATGTATGAACGACATCTTCAACTTGCCCTGAATAGCATGCGATAATTCCGCGCTTTCTGCATGATTCTTAGACCGTAGCTAGAAACAATTTTAGTATATTACTGAACTGAGTGGTGCTATTTCTTCAAACTCGTTCCCAGGGTCTCTCATCTTCCCGCCCAACTGTAGTCTGCGAGCAGTCACTTTCTTTTCCTAGCGTCTTCCTTACGTTTCTTAGAGCGATCAAGCCGTGAGAAACGCGGGCGCGGGGGAAAAAGGAAAAAGAGGGTTTTTTCCCCTGCCTATCCCCATTCCCTCCTCGTTTCTTTCCGTCATTTGCATAATATTAGAGAGGTTAAGCATGACGTTTACGGCAAACGGCAAACGGCAAAAATGAAACTTTTGTCATCTCTCTTCAGCTGTGTGTACAGTAGAGTGAAATTATTTGTATTTCCAGTGAATAGTAGGAGACGTTATTACATTTTTGTGGGCTTTATTTACGGATTAGAAGAAAAGAACTGAAAATCAGAAGTTGTCTTTGCCGTTTGCTGTCTGCCGTTAACGTCATGCTTAACCTCTCTATTAACTGAGTTCCGCGCGCGGAGGATTTCAGGAACAAAAACCGACTACTCGTAGTCTAGCCCTCCTGGAGCGAGAGAGGAGAGGCTCGGGGCGGGAAGATGAGAGACCCTGGGAACGATGTTGCTATTTCTTGATTACTGGTGGCACATGATAATTTTCTTCGGGCTTTAATTTCACAAATGAGAAACAGAAACTGCAAGGGACCGCATACGATAAACGCTGCCAACGTAGGATGACACCAATCTTGACACTTTGTTTCATTGCGCCCCGAAACACGTGATGTGGCAACGCGTGTTTCGGGGCGCAAGGAGTTCAAGGTACGGAATTTGATATAGTGAACGGGTCATTTTGCAATTTATGTGCGTTGGCTGTTTGGCTGGCGTTACATATCTTCGCTACACAGTGCTGACGAGCCCCAAGAAGGGTGAAACAGCTGTCCACTGTTGCGATCCTGCTTTATCGGTTCTTGTCATGTTGGTGTCTC